TTTCCCCAGAGAGCTAGCTGGGGCCCCAGCACTGGTCAGTGCCTCCTTGGTGATTATTGGGCCTTTCTGGCCACGTGGCCCCAAGGAAGAGCCCAAAGATCCAATCACAGTAACAGGGTAAAATATTTGGGCCGTTTATCAGTATTATGCAGAAAATTTTAAGTATTGATTGTTTTAACAAATGCAACTGTTTTGTTTTACAAAGCTAGGGCAACTGCTTTTCGGCATACTTAAAATCACCCCAGATCTCAAACTAGTGGCTGCCTGCCGCTAGAATGAAACCATGTCACCAGGTCAAACGTACCCTTCTTCCAATACGCATCTTCATTCATGTAGAAAGAAGAAAAGCAAGGAAAAGGGGCGCCTGGGTGGCTCAGTCGGTTGAGCATCTGCCTTCGGCTCAGATCATGATCCCAGAGCCCTGGGATGGAGCCCTGGGATGGAGCCCCGGGATAGAGTTTTCCATTTCTGTAGTTCTCCTTAGCAGTCCCCTCTGCCCAGGAGGTGTCCCAGAAATCTGAGGCCCTACGGGGTCATCACTCGACTCAAGTGTGTAGCCAGAGCTTTCCTCGGAGGATACTTCTAAATTAAAATAAAGGCCAAATTCTTGTTTGCATTTATGATCGTCTTGACATTATGAAGTGCTACTGTATTTGTTAGATTAATATGAAAAGAACAGATGCAGGCTTAATAGGTTGAGGATACATTCTTGCTAAATGATGCCCATATGACAATAAATCTTGCTATCTAAAAAAAAAAAGGTTTCCCTGTACTTATTTCAAATTCAGAGTGATGGGTAATTTGTTTCTCCTGCAACACGTGGTAGCACATGGACAGTGGACTTAAAAGAACCTGTGACACAGCAGTAAGTACCATGTTTATATTTAGAGTATTTAGTTGCATTAAATTTAGTTGCATTAAAATTTAGTTGCATTAAATTTAGTTGCATTAAAATAACATCAGTCACATTAAATTATTATTGTTAATTTGAATTAAATATGTGATTTTCTTATATTAAGTTAGTTTTTTGCTTTTGCTTATATAAATACACAAGAGCTCTAAGCATAAATAATCTATACTTACATTTGTACACATTTAAGTAATATTACAATTACTGTAACTCAGTACTTGAAGTCCATAGATTTTATTTTTCCCTTAATAGAGTTGGAACATTACTGAAGTTTGCAAAGCGTTAGGCTAACACAATAGCCATGTTAAGACTGGTTGGTATGGGGTGCCTGGGAGGCTCAGTTGGTTCAGCATCTGCCTTCGGCTCAGGTCATGATCCCAGAATCCTGGGATCGAGTTCCACATCCCACATCAGGCTCCCTGCTCAGTGGAGAGTCTGCTTCTCCATCTGCCCATAGCTCCCCCACCTTGGGCTTGTGCTTATGCTCTCTCTCAAATAAATAAATAAAATCTTTAAAAAAAAAAAAAAAGACCAGTTGATCATAGATTTTTATAAAATATCAGAAACATCAAAAACCCCATAAGTCACTGTGTTTGTATAAAAGCTAAATACTTCAAACTCTATACAGTCACTTGCTGTGACTTTCAGATAAAGATGGAGATTGAAAACATCATCTAATATTGCTTCTTCCAAAGCACCACTGAAACTACACCAAAGAGGCTTATTTTAAGACATAAGACCACAAGTTGAAGATGCAATGACAGCAACACTTTTGAAGGATGTACATAGGTGGTCAAGTGGAAATTGACTTGCAGGCCTGAAAAGGCTTCACTCTAAGCAGCGGTCCCTGGGAGAGGAGGGTGACCGGGAGAAGATAAAAAGGATTGGCTGTAAGAAGTAGTAGTTAGGTATCTCAAGTCATTGGCCTTCCTTATACAGCTGAGCAACTTTCAGAGAAACCAGGGAATCTCTGTCCTGGGAAACCAAGTCAAGGGCAGGGGAACTGTGCCCAGAACCAGGGGATTGAGTATGCATATTCAAAGCTGACATCCCCAGCCTCCCATCCCAGTCTCACTCCCAGAATAATGGCAGACAGGCATTTACCCTCCACACAGGAGACTAGAAGCACATTCTGAACAGCCTAAGAAGAAACATTTAAAGATAGACAATAGAGGCTCTAAGACAAACAGCTGCCCCATTACCTACATCACAGCTTTTTATTTGAACACCCTTAATCATGCTTGCACAATTAAGAATTATCAGGCATCTGGGGCGCCTGGGGGATTCAGTTGGTTAAGCAACCAACTCCTGATTACGGCTCAGGTCATGATCTTAGGGTGGTGAGATCAAGCCCCACGTCAGGCTCCACACTGGGTGTGGAGCCTGCTTGGGATTCTCTCTCTCCCTCTTCCCCCATCTCTCTCTTCCTTCCTAAAAAAAAAAAAAAAAAAAGAATTATCAAACATCTGAGGATATAAGCCGTCGCATAGATGTTGGAATAAAATACATAAACAGAAAAAGGCAACTTGAAGGAAACAATGACTAGGCTGGCAGGGGAAAAAAATTTAGTGTCTACAGAAGATAATAGAAGGTTTTCAATTAATAAAATAAGAATAGGAAGCTCCAAAAAATAAAGACACAGAGAACAGCAACAACAAAAAATGTGAACATGGTTGTAGAAATGAAAACTCAACAGACCAGAAGATAAAGTATAATAAATCTTGCAGAAAGAAAACAAAAAGAAAAAATCATGAAAAATTGGAGGGAAAGTATAAGCAAATTAAAAGACCCCAGGCCAAGAGAAGTCCCTCAAAGAAAGACTAGGGAAAACAATTATTTCCTCAATGAAATAATTTAAGATTTCTGAAAATTTCAGGATATGCATTTCCAATGTGAAAGGGCTTACCCAGTGTCCAGCGATAAAAACAGATCCACACCAAGACACATCAGAGATATTTTAGAACATAGGGGACAATGAGAAGATGCTGTAGGTTTTCAGAAAGGTGAAGAGGAAAAGTTCACATACAAAGTAACAGGAATCCAAATAATTCTGCAGTTCTCAACAGCAACACAGGAAGTTAGAAGAAAATGGAGCAACGCATTCAAAATTCTGAAGGGAAATTAATTCTAACTAATATTAAATATCTAACTAACTTCTCAACTAAGTGTGAGGGTGAAGATTTTTCAGTGAAAAACTACCTCCACTTCACACACACACACACCCCTCTTCCAAGAGAGTTTCCAAAGAATATGTGCAATCAAAACAAGGAAGTAAACCAAGAAAAAGGAAGATACGCTTTACAGGATAAAGGATCCAAAACAGGAAAAAATGCAAAGGAATTATCATATACCCAGGATGATGCACCAAGCATGAGGGCAACACATCTGGACTTATACAGGCCCACATGCTTCAGAAGAGATTAAAAAAAATAAAATTGATATAATACCCAACACACATTAATGTATCAAGAAGATATTTCAACATCTGGTAGACATGTGTACATAGAAATAAGCGTGTACATAGAAAACTAGGCAAATGAGAAAAGACAATTCTTAACTGAGAGAAAACTACAAGTTGAGCAGTAAAGAAGTAATCATAGTTTTCTATATGACTCAACATGGAGTAGCCTACAGAGTCATAAAAATGTAACCCTGAACATTGAGTCGATCAAAATTACAATGAATCTCAATCCACAGGATGAACAGCTGGGAAGTGTTTATGACTGGGTTTGGTAAGAGTAGAAGAGACAAGATATCTAAATCCTCATCTTCATGACAGAAGTCAATGGGTAATATCTAAACCTGAAAAAAAACACGAAGTAATATCACAAGCTTGGTACTTAGAGCTTTGCAGGTAATAACAGAAGTAGTACTTCCCCCACCCCCACCCCATCCCGCCCCAATGCTGTGTGTTTTATCCCTGTAACTTATTCATTCCATAACTGGAAGCCTGGATCTCCCACTCCCCTTCATCCATCTTGCCCAACCTCCCCCTTCCCTTCTGGCAACTATCAGTTTGTCATCTGTATTGTCTAATTCTGCTTTTTGTTTGTTTATTTATTTAGATTCCACTTATGAGTGGAATCATATGGAATTTGTTTTTCTCAGTCTGACTTATTTCACTTAGCAAAATACCTTCTAGGTCCACCCAAATGTTGTCTCATATGGCACAATCTCATACTTTTTTGTGACTGTGTAATATCCCATCATATTTATATATA